GTTATTTAGGGTTAAAACTCTGTGTTATCAGATAAATCAATTAAATTTTAGTTATATGAATTTGTCGGACATAATAAACGAAAAGCAATATTTATTTTTCAATAATGAAATGTGTTAAAGTTTTATATATCATATTAATCTAAATACATATATAAACAATAAATAATAGTCACAAATATAATAATAAAAAGTTTATAAAATATAAAAGAAGTTTTAAAAATAGATAATATGGTAAGTTTAAATATTACATTTAATTGGAGTTAGATTTGTAAAACATGTATTAATGGATTTATGCTAAAAATTAATAAGAATATGTAGAATTAATTGAAATGTTTTCTTTGGTTAATTTAAATATCATGTTCCTTGAAACCCTCATTGAGTGACATATAAGATTTTTATCTTAGTGTCTTCTCAATTAATATATAGAGGATGCTTTCCAATCCATCTCTCGTGGGAAAGTCGGTCGAACCCTAACTTTCTAACTTGCAAGCTACCATCTACACTCTATGGTCACAACAAAATAATTGTCTTCATCATAACACAACACTTACTAGTCAGTGGATTCTCTCATCACTCTACACTATAAAAATGGTTTCGAGTCTTTACGGAAACCAACCAATTTTTTTCTCAGGTATTTTTTTTTTTTTTGCTAAACAAAAAATAGAGATTTTTTTTAGGTATTATGAAGTTATTGTTCCAAGAGAGTACGTTGTGAGTCTAAGTACATATGGACCGCAAAAATCTCTTCACTGATGCTAGGATTTCTAAAACCCTCTATTGACTTAAGTTCATTCCATTTCCCTCTCCATCTCTCTATTTTTATTCAGTGCCATGCGAACTCGCCATGAGTCATGGTCTACTCTCAATTTTGGTCTAGTTCTACGTTTGTATATTTCCCACTTCAATTGCTTTTCTTTATTTTCCATATTAAAGCTTTATATATGTTCAGTTGTCCTGCTCTCAATTTCGGTTTCTACCTACTCGTAAGTCATTATTACATTAAATGAACTTATGAACAATAAAGAAATTCTCTAGATATATGAAATATTCGGTTCTAAACAAATTACAACAAATATGAAAAAATCAAATGACAAAGTACAAGAGATAAATTTCATGTCCTTTGCAGGAACACAACCATTATTGAAGACTAGATATCAATATAGATTTGAGGTTCAAAAAAAAAAATTATATATAGATTTATTGAAATGATCAATCACGCTTGAAATATGGTTTGAGATAACGGAAATATAAATACTTGAGTGCATAGTCAACGATTTCAGGACACACATTTTTCATCCAAGATGGTTCTTCAATGGATGTCTCTCCTCTGCCAATGCCTCTGAAGATTGCTTTTGCGCATTCACTTACTGATTCTGACAGAATAAAATCTGAACCATACTATTTTTTGCAATAGAACATACCAAAAAAATTCACATAATTAGAATTGATGTTATATGTACATGGAATAAAATTTTGTACATATTTTATTACTTACTTTTTCTATATAGTGAGGAGTGGTCATATTTGTAGATACAACTCCAGGAAAAACAATTGTTATTTTGATATCCGGACTGAGCTCAACTCTTAATGTCTCGAAAAATCTTAATAAGGCCGCTTTGCTTGCCTACAACAATAACCAAGTAACATCAATATTATGTAATTAGGGTTTTTTTGGTGAATAACCAAAGAAAAAAAAAATTAAAAAGTTAGAAAAAATGGGGTATGTGGCAAATTGTAGGCCATTGGATTTGGGATTTTTTGTTAGTTTTCAAATTATAATTTTTTTGTTGTATTTTTGACAAATTTTCCCATGTAATTATTGTTAGGTGACAAGTAATTTTTTTTGTACAATATAAACTAGATTAGCTAGGACTCGTGTGATGAACAGTTACACAATTACAAATATATAGAAAATTACTACGTTTGATATTTAGATTCTGAAATTTATAACCCATGTTATTGTGATCCATGTAATTAGTTCGAGACTATGAACAACATTTTATACTGAATTTTTAATTCAAAACATAATTTAAAGTTATTTACTATATATCAAATGATAAATCATATACAATTATTATTATCTCAATTCGATATATTGATCTTTTTATATTGAATTGTTTTACATGTTTGATTATTCTTTTGTAGTGAATCCAACGACAAAAATCAGACGTACAAATTTTTATAAAACTTTCGTACATCATGAATTTTATATATACTTTTACTTTCCAATTTTTTATAAATTTTTAGACGAGTTCAATGTAAAATAATTATAATTCATCAAATAGTGATATGTGTTATTGTATTTAATACGGTAGATATAAGAAATTTGTTTACTCTCTATATATAAAATCTTACTGAATAGACGCTTGCCAATGGTAGCTGAATATTTGCTGCACCAGAAGTAATCACAATGATTTTTCCTTTGCTCTTTCGAAGATGAGGAATTGCAAAATATGTGATATATATTGCCCCCCCAAAAGTTGATATCCTTAGTATAAACACAATTTAGAAGTAGTCAATATAGTTTCCTATCATAAGTTTGAATATCCACCAATGTGTAAACGCAAACTCAAATATTCGTTTGAAGCAGCCAAGTCATAGTCGATAACTTAGCTACTACCAATGTTACTTATTTATGAATTAGCATTAATAAAGCTTGTACATGGATCTTAAGAAACTTACCATTATAGGATTAGCGTCTTGAATTTGGGTGAAATCTTCGAAACTGACAGTTTGAAATACACCAGCATTGTTGATCAGGTGGTCTACTATCAAAATATGATTTCTTGATTAGGTATCAACCATCTAAATAAATTGGACACTAAATTATATGATTTCTTGATTAGGTATCAACCATCTAAATAAATTGGACACTAAATTACAAAAAAAGAAAAACAAAAAGAAATACTATTGACTATGTGTGACATATTTAGGTAAATGTTATGTTTTTTTTTATGTTCTTCATTACCACATAATTTAGCTTAGCAAAGCGGAACTAAATGTTACATATAATATATATAACGGAAAGTATGTGTAGGTCATATATTAAGAGTTCACCAGCAACATTCATAATCACATATTAAGATTCAGATCATATAGATCATCCTTTTTCAAGCACTTACGTTTTCCGAAATGATGAATCGTCTCACTGATGAATTCCTTGCAGTCCTCAAGCTTAGCAACATCGCCAGGTATGATGATGACATCACTAGATCCTAATTGACGTGATGTTTCCGCAACCATCTCTAGACGATCCTTTCTTCGAGCAACAAGAGCCAAATATGCTCCTTTCTTCGCGTATTCGTATGCGACATGCTTTTTTTACCAACCCAACAAAGCAAAAACAAAAAAAGTTTCATTCAAATGCATATCAATATATGTGAATCTATACATTCAATAACGATTTTCTAACTGTAAGTAAATCAATAACTATCTTATATAATAATATTTGATATGCTTTATAAATTATTACAAACAACGAAACTTTTTTAGATGGATAGTCTAGCTATGATCAAATTAATTATCTATCTTGTAGTACATATACAAGAGACGACTCAATCCACGACACGGTACCTTAGTTTTCTATATCTATAAAGCTCTTAAGAGCTTGAATGTATATATCTTGTTTGAGTTTGCTTACAATAGATGTTAGGTATGAATTGTTTGTTTTTTAAGCTACGTGATTATCAAACAGCACACATGTTTACAAAAATATGAGGTAATGCGTATACATGTTGGAAAATCTAAATTACAAAGTCCGAAAAATCATTAGATCTTAATCAGACGCCTGATTTGATTTATTATTCACTAATTACTTGGTATTCCTCTATAAAAGATCTACCTAATTAACAATAACAATAACACATATCTAAGAAAGAAAAAGCATAGCATCCGAAACTAGCTAACCTCTCCAATGCCGGAGGAGGCTCCGGTGATTAGAACAACTTTTCCAGCTACGTTTTCGAAGCGAAGGTTCTTATGAAGACAACTCCCAAGTTTGATCAAAAGATAAAATGGGTAAAAGAGGATTAGAAAGATGATGGTGAGAGGAGGAAGAAGAAGATTGAGAATGGTGTTAAGCATATCCATGTTGTTTGTTTGCACTTGCACAACCAACTACTTACCTCTGTCTTGCATATACATTCAAAGTTATTACATGTAAATGTAAATGCAGAAGGTTCGTTGGCCCCCATTTAGAAGTTGTAGCAAGTGATAATGGCCTGCCTCTTTAGTTAACTTTCAACTACGCTTCTTTTTTTTTTTTAATATATTGAGTGATTTGAATCTAAACATGCATCTAAAATATATAAATGTCATGATGAAAAAGGTTCCATGGCCTAATGGTTTAAGTAAAGTATAAATCACAATTTTCAAAACCTAAAAAGATCTAAAAT